TACCTATGTAAAAACTGCCAAACTCTCTTCCAAGGTAGTGGTACCATTTTTCACTTCCATCAGCAATGAATGAGAATTCTTGATGCTATTCACCCTTGACAACATTTGACCAGAGTATTGGGCTTCAGTCACTCTAACAGGTGTGCGGTGGTATCTCTTTGTAATTTGTATTTTCCTAATGACATCATATTGAACACATTTTTATATGCTTATTTTCTGTTTATCTTCTTTGATGAAGTATCTATTCTAATCTTCTGACTGTTTTCTATTTGGGTTATTTGTTTTCCTATAGTTGACTATTGAGAATTATTTTTATATTTTGAATATAAGTCTACTGATACTTGTTTTACAACTATTTTCTCAGACTGTGGCTTGTCTTTTCATTCTTTTAACAGTGTCTATCATAGAGCAGAGTTTTTAACTTCAATAAGCTTCAGTTATCAAAAATAAATACAGCAGTTTGTGGGTCTGCTATTCCTAGGCAGCCTATTCGGCCGCCATTTTGTCACCTAAACAAGGTCAAAGTGGCCTGGCCAGTTAGGAACAGGAGCCCAACCCTTAAGGCCTTCAAATCAAACAAGAGCACAAAGCTGGATCACACTGGGAAGGTTATGCATCACAAGGTATGTCCAGAATGCCCGGGGGGCTGAGGACTGATGCATAACATGTGCATCAGGAGATATGTCCTGAACACCCAATGAGCTGAAGAACGATGCATAACACATACTCCCGACTTATACATCACGAGGTATGACCGGGAATGCCCGGGGGGGGCCGAGGACCGATGTATGACAAGGGACCCCAGAAGCTGATCAGTGGAGCCTTGTTGATAAGATTAGAACCATGGCTGGGGATTAGGGTGTATCATCAAGTAGATTAGAAGTGCCTGGAGGGCAGACGCACAATCCCTAATCTTCTACACCCTTCCCCTTTCTTTAATCTCCTTAATTTCCTTACAATCAATTACGTGTGTCAATAAAAGGGCCAGGATCTTGCTCTTCAGCAGCATCCTGCATTGTGCAGCCTGCTCCATGACTCCGGCTTGTCAGTGGTGTTGTCTGACGCAACAGCAGTTTACTTATGTAAACTAATAGACAACAGGGTTTACAAAAATAAATTAAGATGGTGAGAGAATGAACATGGGCAGCAGAGGAAAGTTAAGTAGAAGGGACAGATTTAAGAAGTAATTTAAAAATAAAGTGGGTAGGACATAGTACAGGAAAATAAAGTCTATTTTACCTCTCCCTCTTACAGAACATATCTAATATGGAATGGCAAAGAGCAGTCCAGACAGCCCTGTGGTCTGTAAAAAATTGCTTCTGGGAGTGAGACGCAAGTTCTGGGGTTTTCCTGCTTTCAAATACCACCACCTTGTGTTTATATGTGAAATGCATACTATCCAGTGGCTTGGGAGACTCTGTGTCTGCCAGGAAGGAAGAACCTGGTATGGCACCTTTTGGCATTTTTGGGAAATTATGTCACAAAATGTCTGGCAATCACCTTCTCCCCCTGTTCCCCCAGGCCCAGGGGAGTGAGCAGCTGGAGCTGAGCACACACACTAATATGCATCCAATAAAATGTGTATGTGGAGCCCTGGTGCCTGGTGCTGCTGCCCCAATATTACAGGAAAATTAATAATAGTTCCTGGAATGCACCACAGACACGGTGAGAGGTTTATGTACCACACAACACACATTAAATGCAGGATGGACAAAACCAAGACATTTGACTCCTTTCCTCTGAGTTTTGAATCTAGCTGTAAGTTTAGGATTTTCATCAGAGGAAAGTGGAATGGAATCTGTTCAGAGTCTCAGGAAGCTTATCAACCTTATGAAGATATATGCTTGCAATTTCAATTTAATAACTTTTCTATATTGAAAATAGATGAATAGGATAACTCTTTTTCAAGAGGTGAGCAAATAAAAAATTGCTGTGGAAAAAAGGAAAAAATAAGCATATTTGTATCGAGAACATACTGAATTGGTCGCTGTAAATACAGTCTGAGGAGACCAGGCTAGATCAAATTTTAAGGATCTTGTGGGGATGAAGATTGCCAAATCTAAAGCGTTTAAGCATAAGTATTAATAATTAATTCAGAGAACAAAATAATCCATATTCTATTTAAAAGAAGGAGGTTGATGGAGAGAGGGTTGAAGGGGAAGGGAAAAAATATACGTCAATGACAATGAAAGAGGGCCCTGAAACTACACAATTGAAGAAATGATAAACACATACGGCATTTACTATGAACCATATGCTTTTCTAATCACTTAATATGAATTAGATCCTTGTAACAACTCCATGGAGAGGATACCATTTTAAAGAGATGATTCTCATGCAGATGAGCATACTAAGGCACAGAGCAGTTAAGCAACTTGCTTAAGATCACATAAGTAGCAGAGCTGAGATTTGAATTCAGGCAGGCAGGCTTCAGAGTCTGCAATTAGGCCCTTAATAAAAAGTAGCTACTTTCTTAATATGATAGAATGTGGGAGGTTACCAGATTTATCCAGCAAAACTTTTCAAAGATATCTGAAATACCACCATTGGTATCACTATAGTTTAAGGAAGTGGTATAAAAGTTACTGGCGTTAGCATAAGTCAACATAACAAATGCTTAGTGGCCAACAGAATCCTGTATTGTAAATCAATATATTTTCTATGGCCTTAAAAGGTCATTCTACCTATATAGAAAGGTCAAAGTGATAGTAATACTAAGAAAACATTGAAAGAAGTAAAACAATAGCCTGGGGAACATATAAGAGAAACAATGAAGAAATAAGTTAATCTCTTCATATTTCATATTTTTAATAGATTGAAGTAGGAATGTATTATTAAATCTTCTTATTAAGTAACTGATTTTTACATATATTTAGTCTGCTGAATAAAGCAGATCTTTGAAGTGTGGAAAAAGAATTAACCATATTTCATTTGTAGTTGAATTTAAATAGTTTAAGAAAAATTTAATCAATCAAATATATAATCAATGTATAAAATGCTCAAGAAAAGGTGTTTTTTTTTAAAAAACTTGCTTGTTAGAATAGTGGACATTATGAGTTCCACCTACTGTCTTTGGACTTACCATTTCCTGACATGATACTCAGCATTCTTTAACTCCCTCTGACTACCAGAGGTCAATTGGCCCTGCCTGGGACAGTTCAGAATTGCCACAACCCCCAGGAATAGGCCTCAATTAATGATGGGTAGGAGGAAATGGACACATGCCCCTGTTTTCTGACTTTCTGGTAGGAATAACTCAGAAGCCTAGAGACCCCAGCAACTTTACTGGCATTTGTCCCTTCCCTTACTCATTTCTCCAGTCCTCTATTGGGGTTTCTTGGGATCCCCTCAACTACACGGCAATTCAAACTAAAAGAAGACATGAGTTTACCAAATTGAGCATTAAATAAAGAAAACCTTTGGAAAGCTCTTCTTCATGCTTAATATCCTCTCAGACATCCAATAATCTACAGGATAGCACAGTCAGGGGAAGGAGGTAGTTACTGTCTTGAGTGACCTTCTTCCTCTCCTGTCAGCACCTTTCCTCTCCTGGAACTCTCTTCTGCCAACACCCAGGACACTCACACTCTAACTCTCACAGGGGAAGGGGTAATTCCTCCCATAGGGAGCTGCAATTTCAGAGGGCAATCTTAGAAATGTCCACCCATATGGCTAGAGCTGGACCTAGCAACTGTGGAGAAGAATACAGGAGTAGACACAGGTGACTGTCAGGAAACTGAATCTCTTGGCCCTGAATATGCTACCAGGTCCCCATGGGCTAGGAGGGACTTCTGGTTATGACTTTCACAAGCAGCACTTTAAAATAGAGTAAACGAGGCCCCAGCTTGCTATTCCCACGAAGATGGCAGTTAAGATCGCAGACTTTAAATTTAGGCCTACCCATCCCTAGTGTCCACTTAGGCCGGTTTCTTACAGCCTTGACCTTCAGTTTCCCCACCCACAAAATGGAGAAAATATAATCTAACTTACTGGACATTGCCGATAAAGGGAGTGCACTAATAAGCTAAGACTTACCAAGAGCCTAGTACATACCAGGCGCTTTCTATGCATTCTCATTGTGTGGCCATCCACATGGAGACACAGTTAGCATTTTCATTTTCTAATCATAAGAAACTTCCCCAAGGTCACCCAGCTAATAAGGAGCAGATCCAAGTTTCAAATTTGGGCAAAAATAATGCCATTCTTGACTTCTTATGTTATACAAAGGATCCGGAAAGTAATTAACAGTACCCAGTACACATTAGGTGCTTAATAAATAGTCTTCTTCCCTGTCACCTTACTTCATCATCCTTTCCTGGGCCATCATCCTCCCCTCCAGAGAAGGTCTGCAATGTAGAGAAGGACAGACAAGGAGAGATTCATGGAGGCTCAATGCCAAGTTCTTAATAAAGAACCTTCAGAGCAAATAGATTTTGGCGTCTCCTTCTATTAATACCTAAGATTTAAAGGTCCTTCCAACTCCACAACTTCCTTCTGTATTAGAAGAGCATTGGATTCAGAGTCCATTTCTCAGGCTGGCTCTGGTATTTACCTAGCTGGGCAATCTTCAGCAAAGCCACCTGCTTTCTCTGTGCCTTTGTTATTCAATTTATTAACACAGAGACAATAATCCACGTCTTGTCTTAAGAGTTTCAGAGAGTATTCTGTGAGGAATGTATGTGAAAATGCTTCAGAAATTATAAAGTACTCCATGACTGTGGGAAGTGACCAGTATTAAGCAACAGCTTATCACTAAGAAAATTTTTGAACAAGAAAAATGAGAGTCAAAATCAGAGGTGAACAGCAAGCTAGACTGAGGAGAGTCAGATTGTTAAAAAAAAAAATAGCCGTCACAACCTCATTTTCAGTGTTGCCAGTTAACCTTCAATCAATTTTATAAGGCCAGGAAATAGCCATATTTTTAATTAAGTGTCAGTGGTAAGTTCAGCAACATAAAATTTAATGGTAGGGAAGACACACACTTAAACACAGCCTCTTACCTCTCCTTCTAAGAAAGATATCTTCTCTAAAAGCTGCAATATTAAGAGCTGTTTCTGTTGCACCTTTTTCTTCAACGATTCAATCTAGAAAAAAAAATTGAAAATTATTAATCAAAAATGTACAATTGTCACAAGTTAGTCAACTACAAAGGATGCCTTTGGTTTTCACTTAAACAGAGTGTATATATTGGTTTTGGGGTTTTATGGCACAATGTTCACTAACTTGAGCTTCCCCACGGAAAGGGAGACTCCAGGTAAGCTGGAGACATCAGATGTGATTCTGGAGTTAATTTCCATTAGGCTTGTTTAACCTAGCATTTCCATTCTGATTTTACCATGTAACCCTTATTGATATTCTATAGATGTTCCAGAGAGCACACTTTCGGAAATGCAGATACAACTCTGTGAAATAATTAGTCAGCCTGAATTTATGAGGCAGCCCACAGTTCAAACATTCAGCTCTACTATACCTGTTAGCACATTCATATTTGTTCAACCATGTGTCTAAAGTCTGGGTCTGAGAAAAGCGTCACTATCACTAAAAGCGATGTGAAATGAAATTCTAAGGATTGAGGACTTAGGAGCCCTGGGTAAGCCAGTAAGTCTTCTTAAACACACAGACTTGAGCTGGGATTTTACTTTTGTTTTTATAATACATTCTGTATTGTATTGCTTTTTATTTTTCATTCATATATCATGTCTTCATAAACAAACCAGACCCCAAAGACATGTTGGCCAAAATATGAAATTGAGCACAGGATTGTTTGGTTTTTTTTTTAGAAGACAGAAAGAACAGAAGTCCATCAATAAGTGGCATTTATAAACCATGGACATCTTAACAATGAATATGCTATCCATGTATGCTTCAAAAAAAAAAAATGAAGATTTCCAAAACACTGGTATGGTGTATTTTAAGAAATACATGATATGCTAGCATTTATGTAAAATAAATGAGAACTTATGATGCATACATATTTACAGAAAGCAGCACTGCAAAGATAAAACAAACCTTAATTACTAAGAAATGGGTACTAATAGGGAGAAGGAAGAAATTACACAGATAAGACAGAGCAGTGATTCTGTCGCTATTTTAATAGCGATTCTGACACTGTTCTGTCTTATCTATGTAATTCCTCCTTCTTATCAAGAAAAGTGATTCTGAAAATACCCTGTTACACAGGTTTAACTTTGAAAGCACATTTTATAGATTCAAAAAATAAAAATAAAGAAAAAATTAAAAAATGAATCCTAAAATTGGAAAACAAACAGAAAAGTTTGTTTACATCAAAATGGTAAAAGAAATTAATTCAAGTGTTAGAACAAGGAATTTGTATATATATAACTGAATATATTTTAAAGATAAACAGAAATGTCTCACTTACTAGGACAACGAGTTAGTTGTGGTATTAATATTTTGGAACCAAGGTTTTTAGTGAAGAGACATAGAAGTGTGAACACAAAGAAGTTAAAAATTATTTTTTGTTCCATTTGAAATGAAAATATCAGTATGAAGGCATAATCTTTTTAAAATTTTTAATTTTTTAATTTTTTAATTCTTACAATGTTTGCTTTCTTTTCTCAGGTGTAGTCCCCATAGAATTTCCACCACCAGTTCACCCGTGTTCCATCACCATAGTCCCTTGTGCTCTTTCCATCCTCATTTTGATCCCTTTCCCTCCGCCTCCCCTGTAGAATGTCTCTGATTTATAGTTGTCTATTTATTCTTGTTTTGTTGTGGGTTTTTTTGTTATTATCATTTTTTGTCCTTGATCCCCTATATTCCTCCTATAAGTGAAACCATGTAGTACTCTTTTTCCTTCTGACTTATTTCACTGAGCATAATCCTGAAGGCATAATCTTTTATCTACTATTGCTATATATGCAATTCTTAGCTCTATCCACTGAGAAAACTTAGAAACAATAACAGTAAGCACACAATAGCACTAGTTTGTAGCCTTAAACATCCTGCGCCACCCAAAAAAATCAGATACAGAACATCTTGGAGGAATGGGCCACTCCAGGGGGTCAAAAATTACTAGATGAATCTGAGACACCTTGTCATGCCTGCAAACAGGGTCAAGAAAGATCACCCTTGGGCCAAGGATGGGATCACTTATATCAGAAAGAATAAGTGCAAGTGAGTAAAACATAAGGAATATATGCATTTTTAAAACCTTGAATATTTTATGGTTCTTAAAAAAAAAAAGGCAATGACAACTCATTGAATACTATTGGAAGTAACAAAAGCACCAACTAACTCCTTACTTAGAAACTTGGCAATTTAGAGTAAAGCATAAAGCATTTCCCCTGCCTTCCTTATACACCTGCATTTTAATATTACTAAAAATGCTTTAACTCTACTAAATTCCAGTTAATAAATAGGGAAGGAATAATAGAATCAGGGATAGAATTAGAAATATCACCATTTTGCAATCTCTATGAAATAACTGACTCAAGCAGCCATCATGAACAGATGAAACAGTGAGGGACAAAGCCGATGAGGAATTTTACAGCTGTGTTTGAGACTGTCACCAACTAAATTCATCATAGACTTAACATCACCCAAAGTGGGACAACCAGATATTATGTGACCCTGGTGTGACACAAAATGGATCACATAGCACCATCAAAAAGTATTCATCCTTATACAAACACACACAAAAGTTGAAACTGAGTCTAATCAAGCTTCTAGGGCTAACAAAAAAACAAAGTTAAATCCAGAATGTGGGAACTTCTGTAGAACAACTGATTCAGTTCCTACAATAAGTAACTGGGTGGGTGTAAACTGGGGGGTGGGTGGCAGGACATTCATAGGGAACAGTACACTAAAGATTAAAAGATTTTAGAAAGAGAATGACCAACTATTGTGGACTGTCTCTTTATGCTGATAGCATCAATAAAAAAGACATTTCAGAAAATTTTATTATAGACTCATAAAATGATATCAGGAAATTAATTTTGTTAAGTGTGACAATGGAATTATGGTTAAATAAGAAACAGTCCATATGTTTTAGAGATGCAGAGTGAAATAGAAGAAGAATATCTGGGATTTGCTTTAGAATAATTGCACAAAGGAAAAAAATAAGTAGATAAAGCAAATATGGCTAAATCTTGCTATTTGTTGAATCTGGGTAATAAGTCTAGGGTGCTTCATCAATTATTCTCTTTCCTAAGTGCATTTGATATTTTCATTCTAAAATATTTTAATTCATCTGGTATCAAGAAAAATAACCCCCAACCTGAAAAGCATGCCATATAAAATAGAATAAGAAACACACTTAAGAAAAAATGTGCAGTGCTGATAATAAATTACCATTTAAAAACAATAACTAGTTACATCTTTATATCAATACAATTTGCCCAAAACTATCAACTGAAGAAATCAGTATTGGAAGGGCTAGGGACAGTTACTCTCGTGTGTTGCAGGTGGCATTGTAAATTACAATGACCCTTTGGGCAATGTAGCAATAAATATTAAGAGCCATAAAACTGTTCATGCCCTTTGACCCACTAATCCCGCTCCTGGGAATTTATCCTAAGGATATAATTCAGACGTAGGCAAAAAGCCATATATACAAAGATGTTCGTGCTCCTATTATTTATAATAGAGAGAAAATGGAAATAACCTTAATGTCTAGCACTAAAGGAATGGGTAATAAATTATAGACTATCAGTTTGATGGAATATATTACACAAACACTAAAAACAAACATATTGCAAATTGTAAAAGTATTTACAAAAAGCCTCAAGGGATAGAAAAACAAAACTTTATAAAGTTGAAGGTAAAAACTCAATGAGAAGTTAGAGAAATGAAATTGTTCTGGGTTTGGGGTAGGATTATGAGCCAAAAAAAGTTGTTTTGTTGAATTCCTTTCAGGTTTTGTAGATATGATTTTCAAAAAAATCCTTATGGTTTTCCTTTTAAAATCTTTAAATGATAGGCAAAATGGATAATAAAATTAAAATATTCCAAGCAGTTTAGGGGTAATATTTAATCAAGTGCCATACCAAGTAACTTTATTCACACGAGTTTTACTCTCCCTGAAGTAATCAGAGTGGTTTGGGTCAAAGGAAGCCAGTGATGTGGTTTAAGGACACCCTAATGAACAGCTCATAGAAAGACAGAGAGGATTCTATTGATCTTTGTCCTCTAGGTTTTCATCCAAAAAGGAAGAAATACAAGGCAGATCTGGAGAGAGAGTTGCGGGGAGAACTCTGGGAGTTCCAAGGGAGCAGAGAGCTTATGCTAGAGTGAAGAGGCACTTTGTTCTGCAGAGAAAGATCAGGCTGTGAGAAGGATCTGAGGTATTGAAGTTTCTGACAAGAAAGATCATGTTTTTCAGCAACTGATGTTTCAAAAAGCAATTGTGCTATTGTGCTATTGTGCTAAATGAATGTTGCATGTAACATTTCTTTTCACCACTGAGCATTTCTTACAGAAGCATCTTGCTCAGTACTGTAGTCTTTAATGTGTTCCATAGGTTCTTAGAAGTGTAAATTCAAGACAAACCACTGTAAGGAAAACAATTTTGCCTTAATTATATAAACAACCTTAATTATATAAACAACATACTTTAATTATATAAACAACAGTTAAGTTCCTAGGGCATATTCCTAATACTTAAAAAACATCAACAAACTTCTAAATAAAGACCCAAACTTTTAATATTAAACACACATTTCTATTCATGCATTCATTCATTCAACCCGCTTACTCCATTTGGGGGTTTCAGGTGGCCAGAATTTACCCAGTGTGTACGGCATGCCCTAAGCCTGGACAGTTGCCCTTATATGGCAATGCACATTCACACACACACACACAGACACAAACACACACACTCCCTCATACTGGACAATGGAGATGTGCCAATGAACCTAAGGTGCACATCCTGGGATTGTGACAGGAAACAAGTTCCTATAGAAAATCCAACAGACATGGGGAGAACACCAAACTTCATACAGACAGTGGCTCTGGCTGGAACCCTTTTTGTTCCTCATCAACATTAGGATGATATGGCGGTGACCAAAACAGCATTATTCCAGGACCTGCTATATATTCTGTGACCAGGTTTGAAATGTTCAGG